TTAACCACATCCCAAGAGCAATAGGAAACAAGTTTTACAGAAGAGGCAGCAGGGCTCTGTAGTTCTGTTTCTTTGTCTGAAACTCCACTGTCTCAAGGAAGAACCCACATACTCTGTCAGGAGTCTGCTGGCTCAGTCACTATTTGCTCCTTTGTCCTGCTTGACTGTCCCCAGTAGCTCTTCTTCCTGGCCAAAGGAAGCACCTACTCTCACTGGCTTCCTCCCCACTCCAGGCCAAACCTCAATCTCCCAGCTGCATCTGCAACCATCTGAGCTTTCCTTTTCTTGTCTCCCAACTCATTCCCATTTGCCCTCCTTTATATGTTTCCATGTGCAGGTCTCTGAAGCATAAATCTGTATTGAGTAGGGAATTCTTTGTTGAGTTATAGTTGGTTAATTTGTTGAAATATCAAGGGGATCTCTCATGCTTGCCATTTCTCTGATGTCACTCTTCAGATTTGCATTATTTAATGAATGCACAAGGTCTGTCATTATATTTTGCATTAAATTCTATTCTATTGGACTATTACCCCATCCTTGTTCTGATTCATATAAGCCTATTATATCTAATTCCATCAGTTTATTTCAATTTTCCTGTTCTTATTAAGTATGTCTCTTGTAAACAAGCTTTTAACACAATCCAAAAATCTGAGTCATTTATAACTTAATCTATTTATTTATTTATTTATTTTAAATATACTTTATTGATTTTGTACAGAGAGGAAGGGAGAGAAATAGAAAGCTAGAAACATCGATGAGAGAAAGTCATTGATCAGCTGCCTTCTGCACACCCCCCACTGGGGATATGCCCACAACCAAGATACATGCCCTTGACCGGAATCGAACCCGGGTCCCTTCAGTCCCCAAGCCGACGCTCCATCCATTGAGCCAAACCGGTCTCGGCCCATTTATTTTTTAATCAGTGTTACACCAGACTTTCTGCCATCTTATTTTCCATTTACTGTATGTAATCTTTGTTCCTCTTTTTCTGCTTCCCACTAGAAAAACTAATTCATGTCTGATTTGTTTTATATCTTCTTTCTTACAGTGGTTTTTATAGCTATATTCATGTTTGTTTAATCTCTGTAACTTCCTCTTAACCACAACCATATGTCTTTATTGACTTTAGAGAGAGAGAAAGGGAGAAACATTCATGTGAAACTTTAGTTTGCCTCCTGACTGGGGATCGAATTTGCAACCTATGTGCCCTGCCCAGAAATTGAACCCACATTTTGATGTACAGGACATTGCTCCAGCCAGGGTCAGAGAGGAACTTTAGCTCTTAGGTTTAGTCTTTATCTCCAACTCTAGTCTGTGCATGAAAAAGGGTTTCTATAGAAAGTAACCTCACAGGGTAATCTGATCATAAATTCCTAGCTGAGTCAGACATGGGTAGTTATGCCCCAAGCATATAACTTTAGTAAAAGATTTTAAACCAGCAGTGCCCATTATTTTTGTGCATTTAGTTTCACACACCTTTGAAATACCAGAATACTGATAGATGGGGGTATTAGCCCTCAAGAGAACATTTAATGTTAACTATCCTGAAATCTGATCCCTGCCTTGCTTTCCCCCACTTCCACATAACCTTCCTTAAATTCCCTCCTTAATTTCAAATGTATAAACACTGCAAAACTGCTATTCTCTGGAGCATTTGAGATTGTACTCCCTACCATATGTCATCAGCTTGGCTCAAATCCTATCTAATAAGAGAATAATATGCAAATTGACCATCACACCAAGACACAAGATGGCCACCCCATGTGGACACAAGATGGTCGCCACAAAATGGCCTGCAGGGGAGGGTAGTTGTGGGAAGTTAGGGGTGACTAGACCAGCAAGGGAGGGCAGTTGAGGGGGACCAGGGCTGCAAGAGAGAGCTATTGGAGAGGACCGGGCCTGCAATAAAGGGCAGTTGGGGAGAGAAGGGGAGACCAGGCCTGCTGTGGAGGACAGTTGGGGGGACCAGGGCTGCAGGGGAGGGCAGTTAGGGGTGACCAGGCAAGTAGAGGAGAACAGTTGGGGGAGACCAGGTCAGCAGTAGAGGGCAATTGGGAGCCAGAAGTCCTGGAAAGTGAGAGGGATGTCTGACCACCTGGTCTGACATCCCTCAAGGGGTCTCAGATTGGAAAGGGTACAGTGTGGGCTGAGGGACACCACCCCCACCCCTGTGCACAAATTTCATGCACCGGGACTCTAGTAAACACACAAAAAATTCTTACTGGTTTTGATATTTCTTACATTAACAAATCTTAATGATAATGCCTAGAGTTTTAATTGCTATTATATAATAAAGTTTCTAAGATAACAGTCAACTTTACAAAAATATTTAATCATTCTTTTCACATCTCTTGTAGCATCTTACAGATTTTGTATCTTTTAATATTTCTCCTAAAGTATTTTCCTTGAGGGCCTTTGTAAGGTAAATCTGAGGTTTGTACACTTAAAAACTTTTAAAAATGTTGTCTGTCACATTCTAATGCTAACTTGGCTGGATATAAAATTTTAATGTTTTTTTTGATACTTTCATTCAGTAATGCTTTTGAGAAATCTGATGTCAAATTCATTCCTTTGATAATACTTTTTCTCTGAAACTTTTACCTATTCTTTGAAACTTTTAAATTTCACTATAACCAACACTTATCTCTATATTCATATTGTGCTTGAGTTTTCTAAACAGTAATTTTCACTACCTAATATATATTTATTTCTCTCTCTCCACACCAGAATAAGAACTCACTTTTGCTCTATTATGTGACATACCACAAACACTGTCCAAAACAAAATTGGGTGCTCAATAACTACAGATTGAATTGTGGTTCTCTATTCTCTATGCTTTGCCCATTAAATTCATTCCTCAAAACACAAAAACAAAACCTGAAGCCAAATTCTTAAATTATCACACTATACCTTGAATCTTTGTGGGGTTTTTTTCCTAGCTGTTCTGATAAACTTGGCAGGATCAAACAGGACAAAGGACTGTTTGCTTTTCTCTTGAGACAAGAGACTTTTTTAAGCAATTGGTTTTAAAATGTATCTCCTTTAGGCTTATGTTTATTCTTTAGCTTTGCATTAAAAGGGCCTCTACCAAAATAAGGGATAAGGTGAAGGTAGGGGGTGAAAGGAAATGATACAACCCTCCCCCCTTATTTAAAAAAGATCCCTGACCATATCTCTGATTTATCCTCGGAGATGAGTTACAGGAAGGAGAACAGATACCGCCGCTATACACTGACTGATAAACTACTGGATTTCACTAATCCCAGTGTCACCCATTATCCTGCCTTCTTCCTTACTTTGAACCAAACTCCTCACATCTCAATCGTATCTGCCTATAATTTTCAGAAACTCTAAATGATACCAATGGAATACTTTTTAAAGGACTACTGCTGAAAGCATAATTCCATCTTTTATGTTGAAAGTAACATATCAGCCAAAACCGGTTTGGCTCAGTGGTAGAGCGTCCGTGGGAGGCAGCTGGTCGATGTTTCTCTCTCATCAACATTTCTAGCTCTCTAGCTCGCTCCCTTCCTCTCTGTAAAAAATCAATAAAATATATTAAAAAAAAAAAAAAAAAAAAGAAAGTAACATATCAGATTACACATTTGCCAGGATATCTAGTGACAGAAATTGCCTACTTTTTAAAGGATTAAAACATTAAAAAGAAAACAATCTGATGTGCACCAGAATATATTGGTAGGTGATTTTTTTAATAAGTTCGTAAAAATTAAGATGATGAAAAGTTTTTACTCTCTCAAAGAAAAAATATTTTGCAAAAGTATTTTGATTGTGTGAAGCAGTAACACAACACCAATAAGCAACTCTGTACAAAATAATTTATTACAGCATTATATAGGTTGACATTGTTTTACAGTAAGTGTTTTTCTTTCAATAATTATGAATCTAAAATAGCTTAGAGAGAAAGAAAATAAAATTAATTAGAACTATTTCTCTAAATAAAATCTCCCTTTTAAATTTATAATTGCCTTAAAGGGAAATATCCATATTACAGACATATTTACAGTTCTGCAAGAAACATATTGAGTGATTCCACTACTGTTTTCTATACACGAATGAAATAGCTATCCTACGCAAAAAATTGCCTGACAATACTGTTTTAATAATTAAACTAATAGAAATTAAATTCTCATTCTAGTGATATAAAAAATATTTAGTAGTCTATGTATGACTATAAAAGTAAAGATGCTTCATTATAATTTCTAATCTACTCTATTATGCTTCCTTGAAGCATATGCCACTCAGATATAAACTATTAACACAAATGAAGCAATTTAGCCAAGAAGGCATAATTCTTGCCTGTGGGTCTTTAAGACTGATGTAGAGATATACAATAAATTTGCCAGTGAATTTCAGTGATTAAGAGGCAAACCAATCCCCACATTTTGAATCAAAAGAAATTTTCATTTTCATGTATATTAAAAAAATAAATAAATCAAGAAAAAAATTAAGGTAGGGGGGAAAAAAAAGGTCAAACTGAAGTAAATTTTAAACTAAACCTCAATTTCTGACAAAAGTAGTTCCATATTGTTTTTAACGTACATATTGTTAGCACTTTAAAACTGATGTGCTTTAATTAAAAAGTAAGGAAAAAACAAATAATGTGACAAATCAATAAGAAATCAAACCATAAATTCTAAAACCAGGATCTAAAAAAACCCCAAAAAACAAAAACAAAAGTGAGACTGTATACAACTTATTTTAACATGAAATTATCATATTTATGATTAAGAAGTAACAGCATCATCATAATGCTGATAATTCTAAAGTTTAGGAAAACTGTACAAGTACAAACAGGTCATTTTAACAGATGCTTATGTATACTGGCAAAGTCAGATAAAAAATAAAATAAGCTTACACAATACTCCATTGAAAAAACTATCCAATTATTTCATTTCATTTCTATATTAAAATACACCCTGAAAAGAAACCCTGATCTGAAATCAGCTTTGAATCTATAGGAACCAATTTTCTATGGGATTTCAAATTTCATTTGCCAAGACATCATAGTTGGCCATATGGTTTAGTGCCGCACTATGACTGCCGACTTCTTTCACAGCAGGCAGGAAAGCAGACGTGAAAGGGAACAGGTTATGACAGGCCATCCTGTATTCTTCATACTGGGAATTACAGTTCCCAAAGCTGCCATCAAGCAGTGCCTCAGAAACCTTTATTAAAATCTATTGAAACAAAGGGAAATAAAAAGAATTACATTTGGTTAATAATCACTTAAATCAAAAGGTACAATCTGTTCATTAACCAAGAGGCCAACAAGCTATAGTCCAAAATAACTTCTTGCTATCTATCCTAAGTAATCATGTCAGAAAAGGAACATTTCAAAATCAATTCTGCAAAGCCTTAAAAAAGCAGTAAAATTCTAATACTTGAAAAAGTGAATCCCTGAAACTATGATCATTAAAATAAGTGTCCTTTATTAATAACAATAGCTCCCACATATTAAGTGATTACTATGTGCCAGGCAGACAGTAAGCACTTCAGTTCATTACTTCAGTAAACCCTTATACCAACTCTATGATGTTGCATTTTCATCCTCATCTTTGCCAGGAGCCAAAATCAACAGTAATTAATATAAATGCAAGAAGTCCAGTCAGAGGCTGAATGGGGCTTTTTGAAATTCTCAGGGCTAAATATCTGCATTTTATTATCTACTGCTGATGACTCAATGGCCTAAAGCAAACTCCCCCAACCTGATAATCTTATTGTTTACCAAACATCACCTTTGATATATCTGTTTGAATTCCTCAAATGCAGTTGTGTATTCTAGCAAATAAAAGCAGATAGGAACAGAGACTCAGTGGAACTTGGTCCTGTTATGCCCAGATTTTGTGATCCCCAAAGACCACCAAGGAGACGAGTCTGATGCAGTAGCAGAAAGCCTGTATTCCATGCTAGCATGGGCTCTGTCCCACTTACACCAACAGCAGCGTGGTGGAAGAGAGCGAGCTTCAACAGATCAATGGGTTTTATAGGGTTGCTGATGCCACTGCTTTGGCTGACCCTGATTGGTTGGGTGAGAGCTAGGGTCCAGTTACACAAAATTGAGGATAGCCCCGCCCTGCCCTTTCATTATGAGGAGTTAGCCCCGCCCTGCCCTTTAGTCCCTTGTACCAAGCTCACAACTGGCTTCCCCCATATTTTCCAAATTTATATTTCTTGTCTTGTGAATTAATTTGCACGTCAGGTTTTCTCCAAGTCTTTGAACCCCAGGCCATGTGGGCCCTGGCTTCACACATCTTACACATGAGGAAAAGGAAGCTAAGAGATGTAACAAGCCTAATGTGATATAGCTCTTAATTAGAACTTGGATTCAAATCAAGACATGAAGTCAGAAGGCCCTCTCAAGAATTATGTTGTAAAGGCATGTTTTGTTAGATCATTCAGTATCCAGTTATGGGAGTTATTAATCATTCTCTGTTAACCATGATTGCCTCCTGTTGGTTAAAGAAAGGACATTCTGACAAGCTGAGAGTTGTGTGCCCCTGGGCCCTGGGAATCAACCTTGGAACCATTCTCATTCAAAAACTGCCTATGGAAAGATTAAACCACCTTGTTGCCCAAACAATTAAGTCCCACCCCATACTCCTACTTTCCCGTGCCTGTAATCCTACTTCCCCAAGTAATTTTTGTCCTATCCTGTACAAGCAGCTGGCTTATGGGGGGGCTGCAGAGCAGATTTTTGTAGATGACCTGCTACTCTCCTGTATTGCCTGCAGTATTAGAATAAATGCTCATAGATAATAAAAAAAAAAAAAGGGAAATGAGTGTGAAAATCTTACCTTTACATTTTTATCTTTTATAGTTTCATCCAGTCTAGTGGCAATGGCAATTGCTTTCTCTTGCCTTGACTTGTCCAGAAAATACATCATTTTAGCACCTGAAATACCAAGACATTTCAAAATGAGTAAACTTCTTTGGCTAACGTTTGATTTGATTTACATTAACCAGTGGTTTAATTTTTGGTTCCAAGTACTTAACAGTGGGCTGGAACTGTCTCCCACCAGCTCTCAGGAGGCAATTATGGCATCACTTCCCACTTCCCATTCAATGACATTCCACTCATAGTTGGGTACAAAGAGATGGTTGCTAAACATTTACCAGGAGATTAGATTTAATACCTCCCCCACCCCTCCACCCCCCAAAAAATGGTCCAACTCAAAATATAAACACAGGCTACCCTGTGGCAGCAATCATTTTTAAAAAATATATCCTCATGTAAAATATCTAAGAAACAAATTACCATCAGAGGGCTGTGGTTGAGGGACAATAAGAAAATGTTTCAATATTCACAAAGAAAATAATTGTTCAAGTTTTTAAAAAATAAACCCAGTTAATATTTCTCTAATAAATCACACAATCCATGTGTAAGGTTTAAGGTGCAGGAAACTGAAGTCAGGGACCACCAAGACATATTAAAGTAAGGTTTATTCCCCAGTAATGAGCAGCTCATTATGGAGGTAGAGAAATCAGAATTAAAGGAGTGGGGAGAGGAGAAATGACCCAGCCAGGCTGCCTCCACAGACAAAGATGTATTTTCTTACAGAGAGGAAGGGAGATAGAGAGCCAGAAACGTCAACAAGAAACATTGACCAGCTGCCTCTTGCACACCCCCTACCGGGGATGTGCCCGTAATCAATGTACATGCCTTTGACCGGAATCAAACCTGGGACCTTTCAGTCCGAAGACCGACGCTCTACCACTGAGCCAAACAGGTTTCTTAAATGGCTGTGGCAATTTACACTGTAGCAGCAAACTATAATAATGCCTGTTAACTATATCTTTACTAAACTTTAATCTTTTCCAAACACATAAAAAAATTTATTAATTTGAAAGATCCAAAATGTTATTGTGTTAATGTTTGTTATTTCTCATTAAATCTTTATTATTCAAAGTATTACATAGGTCCTTTTACACCCATTAATCTCTTCCAGCTTGCTCCCACCCCCCCCACCCCCCATCACAAAGGCCTTCATCATCCCATTGCCCATGGGTTATGCATATATGAACAAGTTCATTGGTTGATCTCTTCCCACCAACCCTGCTCTGCCTTCTCTCTGAGGTTCAATAGTCTGTTCGTGTTTCTATGTCTCAAAGTCTATTTTTGATCAAAGTTTATGTTGTTCATTGGATTCCACATATGAGGGAGATCACAAGATACTTATCTTCCTCTAACTGGCTTATTTCACTTAATATTCTCCAGGTCCATCCATGCTGTTGCAAATGGTAAGAGATTTTGTTTGTTTGTTTTATCTGTGTAGTATTCCGTCGTGTAAATGTACTAGTTTTTTTCCACTTATCTGCTGATGGGCACTTAGGCTGTTTCTAAATCTTAACTATTATAAATTATGCTGCCATGAACATAGGAGTGCATATATTCTTTCTGATGAGTGTTTCAGATTTCTTAGGATATGTTCCTAAATGTGGGATTACTGGGTCAAATGAGAGTTCCATTTTTAGTTTTCTGAGGTAACTCCATACTGTTTTCCACAGTGGCTGTGCCAGTCTGCATTCCCACCAGCAGTGCACTAGAGTTCCTTTTCTCCACAACCTTGCCAGCACTTGTCATTTGTTGATGAAAGCCATTCTGACAAGTGTGAGGTGATACCTGGTCATTTTTATTTGCATCTTAGATAATTAATGATTTTGAACATTTTTCTTGTATATCTCTTGATTTTCTGTATGTCCATTTTGGAGAAGTGTCTATTTAGATCCTTTGCCCATTTTTTGATTGGATTGTTTCTCTTCCATTTAAATTGTATGAGTTCCCTACATATTTTGGAGATTAACCTCTTAACAGATATATCATTAGCAAGTACGTTCTCCCATGTAGTGGGCTCTCTTGCCATTTTGTTGGTTTCATTTTCATGTAGTCCCATTTAGCAATGTCTGAGATTTTGGTGTCTATAGTTCTTCTAGGACTTTTATGGTTTTACATCTTACACTTAAGTCTTTTATCCATTTTGAGTTTATTTTTGTGTATAGTGTAAGTTGGTAAACTAGTTCCATTTTTTTGTATGTACCCGTCCAATTTTCCCAACACCATTCTATTGAAGAGTCTTGCCTCCTTTGCCAAATACTAATTGAACATAGAGGCTTGGGTCAATTTCTGGGTTCTGTTTTATTCCATTGACCTATATGCCTGTTCTTCTGCCGATACCAGGCAGTTTTGAGCACTGTGCCTTTGTAGTATAACTTGATACCTGGTATTGTGATTTCTCCAACTTTGTTCTTCTTTCTTAAGATTGCTGCATCTATTTGGGGTCATTTTTTGTTCCATATAAATTTTTAGTGTTTGTTCTAGGTTTGTGAAATATGCTGTTGGTATTTTAATAGGATTGCATTGAATCTATAGATTGTTTTGGTAATACAGACATTTTAATTATGTCGATTCTACCACCCCATGAAAAGGGTATATTCTTCCACTTGTTTATACCTTCCTCTATCTCTTTTTTGAACATCCTGTAGTTTTCAGAGTACAGGCCTTTTACCTCCTTGGTTAAGTTTATTCCCAAGTATCTTACTTTTTTGTAGCAATGGTAAATGGAGTTGTTGTTTTTGTTCTCTTTCTGAGAGTTCCCTATTGGTATATAAAACTATTATGGATTTTGGGTGTTAATTTTGTATCCTGCTAAGTTGCCAAATTCATTTATTAAATCTAATAGTTTTTTGATGGAGTCTTTAGAGTTTTCTATGTATAGTATCATGCTATCTGCGAATAAATGAGTTTCACTTTCTCCTTTCCAATTTAGATGCCTTTTATTTCTTCTTCTTATTTGATCACTATGGCCAGGACTTCCAGAACTATGTTGAACTAGAGTGGTCAAAGAGGGTATCCCTGATGTTTATTTATCTCTGATAATTAATGAGATTAAAGATCTTTCCAAACTTTTTAAAAAAAATCACATTCTAACTTTTCCCATAAACATTTTAACCCTGGGATTTAAATACCAACCTGAAAGTAAATGCTGAAGAGAGGTAGCATTATGTCTGAGAAAATCCTCATTAAAACTTTCCAAATCCTTGTTGAAAAATAGCTTCTGTATTTCTTGAGATAGAACTTTGCTCACGATGTCTGGGAGATTACTATGGTTAGACACTATAAAAACAAATATTTGAAAATTTAAAAAATTTAGGTCTGTTCCTTGAAAGAAAATCAGTTGAAATACGTTCATTAAGCTAGATATATTTTAAAAGTAAAAATATTATTGCTCCTTTGTAATATAAATACATTTCAGCTTAAAAATGCAATAATTTCCAGCATTATTCTTGCTAGCATGTTTAATTTGTAAAATTACCTTCCTTTAAATGCTTTATGTAAACATTATTTTTTAGTTTATAATTTGTAAATCTGTTAATATGCAGCTTAATGAAAAACAACTAAATTGTCACATTTACTTTTACATAAATTTATGTTGTTTATACTTACCAGAGTTAGAAAATTTAATTAAACATTCATGTAACCATGGGTTATTACTATCTATGGCAAAAGCTCGTTTAACAGACTGCAACATTAACAGAAACTTTCCTGTGTCAGAAAAAAAAAAAAAAAAAGGATCAATATTTACGTATGATACTTTATTCACTTTATTTTAGCCTCACTTAAAATCCATAACTTTCCTATAATATCTATAAGCAAAATTCAAGGACAACTTTTATTTTCTAAGAAAAGGCATAAAATATCATAAAGAAATGGTTTAGATAAATAATTTGATTATTTAAGCTATTCTTAAAATGGATTTGATTATAATATTCTAATTTATTACCCAGTAAAGTTCTGAAGTAGCAAAAAAATAAATAAATAAATAAATGATTACGATTATTTTTTAAAGGTTGAAATGGAACATTAAAAAACAAGAATAGATCTGACAAGATTATACTGAATATGGCCACCAATATAATTAAGGGGGGGCTAGATGAAAAAAGGTTAAGGGATACACACACATACACACACACATATATATATTAGAGGCCTGATGCATGAAATCATGCACAGGTGGGGTCCCTCTGGGTAGCCTGCAGGGATCGGGCTGAAACCTGCATTCCAATACCACCTGTATCTTCTACCTGCCCCTCTTCATGCTGACCCCACTGCGCTGCCGTGGGCTCGTGCCCAATCAGTCCTGAACAGGAGAGGCTCGTGCTGCCACAGCAGTGCTCACCAGCCCTGCATCTGGCGCCCTCCCAAGGCAAGTGGCCTGTGGGATGGAGGCTGAAACTGGCTCTCCAATATTCCCTGAGGAGTCCCAGATTGCAAGAGGGCACAGGCCACACTGAGGGATCCCACCAGTGCATAATTGGGCTGGGGAGGGACCATGGGAAGGCTTCAGGGTATGTCTGACCCATCTCACTCAGTCTTGATCAGCTGGACTCCAGCAGCAAGTGAAGCATCTGGTGGTCAGTGTACATCATAGTGACTGATCAACGGGTAGACTGTCTGCCCATGTCATAGCAAGCAGTTGAGTAGCCTAAGCGTATTATTAGCATATTACACTTTGGTTGGTTGTTCAGTTGTTCTGCTGTTTGGTTTATTTGCATATTACCCTTTTGTTATATAGGATACTGTATATACTAGAAGCCAGATGCAGGAAGATTTGTGCAAGAATAGGCCTTCCTTCTTCTGGCTGCCAGCAGGCCGTGGGCTTGCTCCAGCAGCCTGTGCAGTGGTGGCAAGCCCTGTGCATTCCAGCACTGCTTCCTCCTCAACCTCCTTCTTCTGTGCAGCCCTGGTGCTCCTGGGAAGGCATCGAGGGGAAGAGGTGGGGGGAGCAAGGCAGGCAGGGAGGACTGGAGAGGTTGGGTTTGCTAATGCATTTCTTTCCCATTGTGAAAGTGGGATGCAACTGGCCCCCATCCTCCTCCACTTCCTCCTCCATCCTCCACCTCCTGCCTGCCCACCCTCCCTTGTCCCTCATCACTCCTCCCCTCTTAATCTGGCAAGATAGGGAAGAGGGAGATCTGATAATTTGGGTTACAGAGTAGGTGGCCTCTTCCATTTATTCAAAACAAAGCTGAGCCGCCTGATGCTGCCACCACGGCTGCCACCATCACCTCTTGGCTAGCCTGGGGCTCCTGGGCTCAATAACTGTACACTGAACGAGCTCCCAAGTACAGCCGTGCCTGAGGAGCTGCTATAATGCTAGGGTTTTATTTACCAGAGCAGAGGGGCAGGGGTGAGGGAGAGGGAGATGCCAGACACTGGGAGCTATGACCTCAGGCACCAGAGGGTTGCCTCTGAGACCAGGAGCTGGGCCCCAGGGAGTCTACAAGGATGGCTGACAGGTGCTGACCACATCAGGGAGGCCCTGAGGAGACTTACTGCCCAGAGGCCCAGAGCCACCGCCACCTTTGTCGGGTTAATTTGCATACTCACTCCCGATTGGCTGTGGGCATTGTGATGTGACAGTCAATTTACATGTTTCTCTTTTATTAGTATAGATAAATATGTACATGTAGACACACACACACACACACACACACACACACACACAGAAGTATGGTGATGATAGCCAGAGGAAAAGGGAGTTAGAAGTGGATAAAGGGGGATAAAATGGAGATGGAAAAAGACTAGACTTTGAGGTGGCAAGCACATGATGCAGTATGCAGGTGAGTTGTACACTTGAAATCTATATGGCTTTTTAACCAATGTTATCCCAATAAATTTAATTTTATATATATATATATATATATATATATATATATATATATTGAATTAAAAGCTGAATTCAAACCATTACCTTTTCTAAAATATATTTCAAATGCTAATAGATGAGTCTCAATGTTACCAGCAACAAGGTTCTTAAGAGGTGTGAGGAACTTGATGGCTTCTTCCAATGGATTTTCTATCTATTTTGAAGCAGAAAAAAAATAATTATAATAGTTTAAAAACAGCTAAAGTCAAATTTGTCTCCAAATTTTATATTAATACATATCTGAAATAATTTCTACAGTGTGGAGTAAGAAGAAACGCTCCTCTAACCTCAAAGTTTTTCCATTGGTCTAATAATGAAATAATGAAATAAACACGAGACAAATTAACAAGAGAAAAGTGCACAGATTTGCTGAAACCGGTTTGGCTCAGTGGATAGAGCATCGGCCTGCGGACTGAAAGGTCTCGGGTTCAATTCCAGTCAAGGGCATGTACCTTGGTTGAGGCCACACCCCAGTGGGAGTTATGCAGGAGGCAACTGATTGATGTTACTTTCTCATCGATGTTTATAGCTTTCTTATATATATATATTTTATTGATTTTTTACAGAGAGGAAGAAAGAGGGATAGAGAGCTAGAAACGTGAATGAGAGAGAAACATCGACCAGCTGCCTCTTACACAACCCCTATGGGGGATGTGCCCGCAGCCAAGATACATGCCCTTGACCGTAATCGAACCCGGACCCTTCAGTCCGCAGGCCGACACTCTATTTACTGAGCTAAACCGGTTTCGGCTGTTTCTAGCTTTCTATCCCTTTCCCTTCCTCTCTGTAAAAAAATCAGTAACATATATATAAAAAAAAGAAAAGAGAAAATGCACAAATTTAATTACATACCATACATTCATATGGGAACCCTGTATACATGAGACAGAGATCCCATATACATGAAAAGTTCAAAGACCGAAAGGGAAAATAAAGTATATATCACATTCTGAGTTAAGGACCACCTTGGATATTTAGAAAGAAGGAAGGTAAGAAAAGCAGATGTTTAATAATTAGTAGTTTACCCTGCCATATAGAGAGGCCAAAAAAGGTTATCTCAGATAATCTCTTATTATGGGAAAGGCCTCTAATTCGATTCTTCTAGGTAGTTAACAGAGGCAGAAGTTTCTCTTAAGCCTACAAGGTCTTGGTTGCCTTTAGGCACTGTTGGAGTGACTTTTTCTGAATCCCTACAACAGATCTTTTTACATAACCAACTGAAGGAGATATTACTCCAAGTACTGACAGCCCCTTATACTATAAACATATAAAGGAGACAAATATAATTGTACCAAATAACAGAAAAAAAGTAATAACAGATTAAAAAGTAAAAACAAATCAAAGATTCACAGTAAATAAAACAGGAAAAAAATATTTCCCTAAATCTGGTCCCTAATAATTAAATCCTGGAGATGAAGAACTAATTCTTTGTAGCTAACACATACCTGGCAAGATATATGAAATGCTTCCATATTTAATAGATAACTATATTGCTGCTATAACAAATTAACAAAATTTAATGTTTTAAGACAACACAAATTTATTATCTTGCAGTTCTGTGGGTTAAAAGTTCAATATGGGTCTCTAGGGATTTAAAATCAAGTGTCAGCCAGAGTGCACTCTCTTTCAGAGGCTCTAAGAGAGAACATGTTTTAATGTATTTTTCAGCTTCTCAAGGCTGCCTACATCTTTGGCTTTCTTCTTCCCATCCCTCCCATCACCTTCTAGGCCAGCAACAGGGATGGAGTCCTTCTCACACTCCTCATGTCTTCTTTCCTCTTCCACTTTTAAGGGCCTCTTGTGAATTTACATTAAGTCCATCTGGATAATCCAGGCTAATCTATCTTATGGCCAGCTAATTACAACCTTAAATTCCATTTGCCACCTACATTCCCCTTTGCCATGTAACTTAACATATTCATAAGGTCCAGGTTTAGAACACGGAAACCTTTGGAGGGTCATAATTCTGCCTTCCACAACTACAATTCTATGTATAATATGCATTAGCAAAATTTGCATATTATCACTCAAAAATTATTTATGGCATATCATTTGAAATGTTACAAATGGCTCTAACTGGTTTGGCTTAGCAGATAGAGCATTGGCCTGCAGACTGAAGGATCCCAGGTTTGATTCTGGTCAAGGGCATATGCCTGGGTTATAGGCTGGATCCCCAATAGAGGGCATGCAAGAGGCAGCCAATCAATGCTTCTCTCTCATCATTGATGCTTCTATCTCTATCTTCTTCTCCCTTTCTCTCTGAAATCAATAAAAATGTATTTTTAAAAATGTTACAAATGGCTTCTGATTTATAAATTTAAATAACAAATTTATAATTTACAAATTATAAAGTTTATGGCCAGAACAGAATTAACATAAATTTTACCAAATTAACACAGTAAATTCATCTCACCCTTTCTAATTTTTCAGGTATAAGCTCTTCTTTGAGACCACTGGCTTCTTCTTCTTCATCGTCCCTTTTTTTCTTTTGATTTTTTTGTTGACGCTCCCTTTCTGCATGCTTTTTCTCTTCTTCTAATTTAGCCTTTTTCTGAGCTCTTCTCTGCTTGCTAAGCATTTTCTTCAATTCTTTGGCTGACAGGTTTTCTATAAATATCCAAATGCAGTCAATGTTTCATTTTTCTTCATATTCTTATACAATATAAACTATTAGGAAAGATTTGGGGAGGGGGGAAGGCAACTATACAAAAAGTTGCCTTCAAAAGTTTTTAGAAAAGTGTATTTCTTAAAATATATTTTTATTGATTTCAGAGAGGATGGGGGAGGGAAAGAGATAAAAATATCAATGATGAGAGAGAATCATTGGCTAGTTACCTCCTATACACTTCACACTAATGACTTGTGAGAGAGGGAATCGAAGCACGACCTTCTGGTTTATGGGTCAAGGCTCAATCGCTGAGCCATGCCAGCAGGGCTAGAAAGTGTATTCTTAATGGCTAGCACTATATATGGCACATAAAATACAACCAGTAGATGCTGCATTGACTAAAATTAATCAATTCTAGCCCAGTTCTGCTTCCTATACATGATTTTAGGCAAACCATCTCTTTCATTATCATTTCAAACTGTGTAAAGGAGGGCTGATGATACCAACCAATATTCTCTTAAGGGTATTTCAAGAATAAGACAGTGTATATAAGCACACTTATGATCTCCAGACACCACATAAATATCACAAATGAAAGGTGAGAAATTTGCCTCTATGCTATTTTTCAAATATTCCTAGATATTAACATTTTAGTGAATAAAAGCTATATTCTCATTAACATTATTAGATACGAGAAGTTGTAAGAATAATTATTTTTCCCTAGGGAGCTCAAAGCCTTTTTTAGTGACAAATAAATAATATTGTTAAAGAGCCTAGCCAACAGACATTTATATTTTTCCTGAATTGGCCTTACTGAAGATAAAAATAAAGATTCTAAGTCATTGAGTAGCATCAGCTATAAAACATTATCCTGCTGCTTTTTCTAAGTCTTCACCCAATTTTTTTCACACACACACACCGTCTTCACATCCATAAGACAGTGTACTTTTCTATGTATTGTTTATACTAATATCATTCTTAAATGTAGTGTTCTTTTCAAATTTTAAAAAATAGTTCTTTCTCAGTTACCTGAATTTATTTCTTGTTGTTTGCTTTCATTAGTTAAGGGATTATCATACAATTTCAAGTATATTTCAATTGCTGATCTAGCAGCCTTGAAATAGAAGACATGTCTTCTGAGCATATCTTCTAATCTCAGAAGATCAACATAGGCACGAAGAGTCATCTTTCTCATGCAGTATGTATGGAAGTCAAATTGATCATCGGTTATCTCAAGAAAATGCTTAAAAACAAAATCACAATTATTTCTTACATTTTGTCGATAATGTCTACTTTTGAAAAGAAAACCATAAAAAGCCCCCAAACATTTTAAACACAATTTCACTTATTTGCCCTCTCCAGTGTTTAATACTATGAAGGACAACAAGTTCTTTGCATAAATCTTAAGTTTCTCTTTCTACAATTGATTATCATTCACTAGAAATCATGTTTCGTGATGATACTCAATTTCTATGTAATAAGTCATATTTTTAAGTTTGGAAATTAGCATATACTGATATTTTACTTTAAATTAAAAATTTCTTCTCAGTATTCTTCAAAAATCGGCATGGCAGAGTTCAACAGCTCTGACTGAAGACTATATACTCTAGATTCACACAAAATGTTTATATATCAGCCTGCTCTGCTGAACTAAGAGTTGTCATGTCTATCCCCACTACCTGGCACAAGGCCCAACACAGCAGACACTCAATAAGTACAATATTGGCCAATTCAAGAGATCAGTTGCTGATCAGGCATGTGACTCCAATTATCTAGTTCAGTGGTTCTCAACCTTTCTAATGCCGAGACACTTTAATACAGTTCCTCATTCTACGGTGACCCCCAACCATAAAATTATTTTCATTGCTCCTTCATAACTGTAATTTTGCTACTGTTATGAATCGTAATGTAAATATCTGTGTTTTCTGATGGTCTTAGTTGACCCTGCTAGCGGTTCCCAACCTGTGGAACCGCTGCTATAGTGCCTAAGACCATCGGAAAACACAGATATTTACATTATGGGGGTCACCAAAATATGACGAACTGTATTAAAGGATCGTGGCATTAGAAAGGTTGAGAACCACTGATCTAGATCCCCGATTACTTAAGGTAATAACATGTATATTGCCAATTTCATAAGGTTGTTAAAGATTTAAAAAAAAAAAAAAAAGAGCATATTTTAAAGTTCATTCTAAGCTGTGAATTGCTATACAGAGCATTATGGTTTTCTCTCGCTCAATAAGGTACCATTAATTACCTACATTCCATTTTAGCCAAGGTTCTTAGTCTGGAGCATATGTATAAACTGAATAACATTTTCCTAAGGAGAAAGCTTGAGGCTTTCATCTAATTTCAAAGGTCCATGGTTCCCCAAAAGTTTAAACACCAATCCCTTACACTGAAAGGAGATTAACTCCCTAGAAACAATTTATATTTTATTTTCTTCCCTACATGCATCTCTACCTGCTTTTTTTTTTCCCCCTCTCCTACTTTAGCTTCTCCAAAAACAGAAAAAAGAATGATTCAACAGCCGAGACCGGTTTGGCTCAATGGATAGAGCGTCGGCTTGGGGACTGAAAGGTCCCGGATTTGATTCCGGTCAAGGGCATGTACCTTGGTTGCGGGCATATCCCCAGTAGGGGGTGTGCAAGAGGCAGCTGGTAGATGACTCCCTCTCTCATCAATGTTTCTAGCTCTCTATCTCTCTCCTTTCCTCTCTGTACAAAATCAAAAAAATATATCAAAAAAAAAAAAAAAAAAAGAATGATTCAACAAACCAATATAGAGCAAGCTCTTGCGCCTTTCATCTTCCCTCTATCCTGGGGCCTAGTAATTCACCATGCAGACGACAAATTAATGTCCATATCATTTGATAATTTTAGTTGTCTTGGTAATTAGAAACATACCATACAGAGAATTACATTAAGTGCCTGAGATTTTAAAAGAATTTTTAAGATAAGACGTATACAATAGAAAAATGAACATAGTTTTATTTACTATTTCAAGAATCATGCTTTAATGATGTTATTATATTTGAAAATTGCATTCCTCCCATCAATAACACAAACCAATTCATAAATAGCAAATTTTTTTTAAATTATATATTTCATACAGTTGTTCATGATTTTCCTTGATGTCAATCAAGTTATGTCTAACACAGTAAGAATATCTTAAAATTCAATAAAACTGAATAAGGAAAATGACAGTGCCAAAATTCATGGAGATGAACACTTTAAGAGGTGATAGGACCTTTGTTTGTTTTTTTTGGCTGAGAAACAGCATATTTCAAGAGATATTCCTAGCAGCATTAGTAAACATCTCAGAAGGAACCACAAACATTTAAAGCCTCCTCTTTATCAGTAACAGCCCAAAGGCTGCCTCTCTCCAGTTAATGTCTTCCATAAATAGGATAACCAACTTATCCACTTTGCCTAAGGCTTTCAGTTTTTCCACTGAAAACCTTGTGTCTCAGGAACTTGCTGAAGACCTCCAAACTTGGATGTTGATCACTCTATAATAAATAAACTAATGGTGGTAACCAGATATGACTAGATTAAATTTGAAAACATAGGTACTACAAAATAATTTTGCTTTTGGGAGAAATGATGTTTAGAGAATCCTACCTAAAAACAACTAAACAATCTTAGGTTGATTTTCCATTTTTTAACTTTTTATTTGGAATAATTATAGATTTAGAGGAAACTGCAAGATAGTATGGAGATGTTCTGTACACTCTTCCTTCATTTCTCCCAAAAGGCTACATCCTACATATCTATAATACAATATCAAAACCAAATGACTGACATTGGTATAACTTGTGTTATACAGTTTTTTAGATTCGAGTAGCTATCGATAATACCACTATCAAGATACATAACTGTCTAATTACCACAAATATCTCCTTTGTACCACATTTTGGAGTGACTTTCAGATCTCCAAATTTATAAAACATAAAAATATACTAGATAACACAAACAGATAAAGTTAGTTTTCCTGAACTTTGACTAAATATGAACATGATAAGATCACTTAGCTCACGTAGACTCTAGGTATCCAAATTTTAACATACTGTTTATGCCCTTAACTCATCATAAACACTAGTTCTTTCTCTTTCTTTCTCTTTCTTTTTCTTAGTGATAGGAAATAGTAACGGAGGAATTGCTTAAGTTCCAAAATTAGGCTTGAATCAAAGGCAAGTCAGCAAAGAAGTAAGAAATACTCTTCAGAGCTTAAGAATGTGGTTTTCATTAGGCATTTGCTATAAGGCCCTTGCTACCATTCCTTCTGAGAGTTACTGGAGTAGACTAATAAGAACTTACACACAGAAAAACAACAAAAACCTCTGACTTAAAATATAGTAATAACTAGACCAAAGAGGACAATAAGCAACACTATTTTCTTTATAGAGAAAGAATGTGCCAGTATAAAGCACATGTCAATTTGATAAAGATTAAGATGCACTAGAAGTTATGAACTTCCTATAGTTCTGAGCTATCAGAAATCCTACAACTTATCAAAAAATTTTAGAAATATGTATTGCTGCTCTGTTTCAGATACAAATCAGTACACTAAAATAAACAGAAATCAATCATCTGAAAAACGGGAAAAGAAAATTCAACTTTTTAAAGTTGATTTCAGAGAAGAAGGGAGTAGGATAGAGTGATAGAAACTTCAATGATGAGAGATAATCATTGACCGGCTGCCTCCTTCGTGTCCCATACTGGGGATAAGCCTGCAACCCAGGTATGTACCATGACCATGATCAAACCGTGATCATCTGACTCATAGGTTGACATTCAACCACTGAGCCACGCTGGCCAGGCGAAAATTCAATTCTTGAAAGATAAAATAGTTTAAAATTTTATTCTGAGCACAAGTTTATACTCAATATCTTAAAGACAGTTGTTTTGCTTTGCTTTGAATAAAACTCAAGTTCTAAACATCATATTGAGTTAGACTCTCTCTAACCTGTATATATAAAATCCTAAAATCCTATAAGGGGGGCAAGATAAAGACAGAAAAAGTACTATACTGGGCCATTCTAGTATTCTAACATTTCAGATCTAGTTAGTAAGAGCTCATAGTACATAATAAGTAATATGGGCCCCAACTGAAACTGCCTCAATGGAAGAATGCTAGAAGGAATTCTAAAAGGCATAAGACATAGCCCTTATTTGAACTTATCTTTCTATTCACTGACATTTTACTTAGAAGTAAACTATAAAGTTTTATTTTTGAAAGGTGCTCATTTCTTTACTAAAATATTTTAAACTCAGGAACAAAAATAACTCATGCAGATCCCTATCATAATAAATATTTTAATTCAGTAATTACTCCTAAATCAATTATATCATTAAGAATTTTCTAAATTACTTAATTATATTAGAAATTAATTTGAGTCACTTGACAAATTTTAATCTCCCTATTTGTATTAGGTATTCATATATACCCACTAGATGAGTTATGTCTTACTTTCCGTATGAATTCACTATGAAAAGACTAACTTACAAGTAACATAAAAACAGGCTCTTGTTTATCTGCTTCTACCGTGTTTCCCCGAAAATAAGACATCCTCCGAAAATAAAGCCTACTTACAGGTGAGTGAAATATAAGGCATCCCCTGAAAATAGGGCCCCCCTAGGCTAAACATTAGAGATTTGGCTCACTGATTCTGAAAGAAATGGAGTCACAAGAAATTCACCAGGAAATTCAGGAACTGGATTGTTATGATGATGTTCCAAAAGATGATGACATGATTGTCATTGAATAAATGAGTAAATTCTTGATACTGTAGGATTCACAGTTTGTCCTGTTTGTGTTGACAACTACCGTACTACCTTACCGCATACAGGTAATAAATTTCCTTTTATTTTCATTTAACAATAAATGTGTACCGTATTCTTCTTCATGGAAAAATAAGATATCCCCTGAAAATAAGACCTAGCGCATCTTTGGAAGCAAAAATTAATATAAGACACTGTCTTATTTTCGGGGAAACAGGGTAGTTTTTTCTATTCTAAAGTACCAAAGGCAAAGCCTAAATACAACAGAGATTCTAGCAATAATAATTATGTACAATGACCAGAGGATGATTTTTGCTCCATTTTAACCTCAACCAATGATTTCCTATACTTTTTCCTTCAAAAATGCTTTGTCAAATCATGCTTTTTGAACTAGAAGTACAGCTGATTCTTGAACATAGGCTTTTTACAGTTTTTAAAAATCTGTGTATAAAGAATATCTAGGCAGTTCAAACCCATGTTGTTCAAAGGTCAACTCTATTTTTGATCCATGGTTTGAAATCCACATATGCAAAGGACAGACAATAGTTACAGGATAATTTTCAACTACAAATGAGTTAATGCCCCAAGGGCCTTCAATGTTCAAAGGTCAACTGTACTTAATCTCTGACCTTACAGAATTTTACTTCATGTTATTCAGCCAAAATCACTAAAAATTCCAGGTAAAATATCTAAATAAAACTCAGTAATGAAATCATAGTCTAACAACCTTCAAAAATATTAAAAAGCAATTAGTAGTATAGCTATTAATGCTAGGGAAAATGGAAATAAAGCTGGAAGGTTCAGAATTATGATGATCCTAAGGATACTCAAATTTCATTTTCACAGAAAATCTAATAATTTCCAGTTATGGTCCTGCTGGAATTACTGATCCATAACTAAACAATCTGTCTCTCACCAAGAATGTCTTGGTTAATGAAAAACGGATCTTTTCTAATTACAAACAGTCATCAAGCTACTGATCTACGTTTGTATCACAGAAGAGTTTGATTTACACAATGCTTGGTTATTTTCTGAATAGTTCACTTATCATCCAAGGGCTTTATATTTTCAAGAAGCTGAAAATAGTTCCCAGAGATATAACCATCAAGCCCAGACTTAAAAAGAAAACAAAGCAAAAACTAGGTTATTTGTGAAAGGGCTCAGGTATAATCCTAGCTCCAGTTCCCATCAAAAGCCACCCCCTAAGATTTAGCCTTTTCTTTGGGTAACCTCAGAAATTTCATACGGGAAAAAGGCCAAAGTGACTGCCAGAGTGCAGACTTCAGGCTCACCTGACTATGATGCCTGCGGTTTAATACTGCGTCAGCATGGGAACAGTGGTGCCGATTGAGCCCAACTGAGGGCTGCTGAGGACTGCCTCAGGGGTGCATTTGTGGCTCTTTTCCTCCTGTTGTCCATTTGGAAGGAGAGTGCTTCAGAGATGACAAAGAACAGGAAAACAAAATTCACACAAAGGAAAAGAAAAGGCCCCTCACTAAGGCACATCACACACATCATCCTAACAGCAAGTAATAAAAATAAGCCTGCAAATCAGTCACGGACTGCTGTACAAAATACTGAATGTGAGAACAAATATCCTGGGAAGACCAACTGGAGAGAGGCTGACTACTGAGCAGATCCTGACATAAAGGGGAAAGAAGTTGCCATCAGCTTGTGTGTCCTTCTAGGCTAGTAATGAAAATCAAATAATGGCCCGATTAGGGAATAGAGATTTTGAATATATGTTATTAATAACAATAAATTACTAAATTAATCTTTTACTTCTTCCTTTAGACAAAAATATGGAGATGTTGAAATCATAACCATTTGAGGATTAACAAAAGCAATCATTTATTCACAACCTCTGAATGTTTGAAAGGCTAAAGGTCAAGAAATTTCCAGAGGATAAAAGAGGTAGATGATCCCATGTTGAAAAATACCTGCTTTTTTTCATCACTTTACAGGAGAAAAATAAAGTCAAAATTCTATCAACTTACCCTTTCTACTTCATGGCATTTTTTCAAGGCATCCCCATATCTCCCCAACCGCTGATAAGCTAAAATGCACTCTGTTTGAAACCACATACACTGCATTTCATTTAGATTTTCCATGGCAGATGTTCCTTCCTGAAATAGAAGCATTCATTAATATAAGAAGCAAATAACAAAAGAGATTCAAAATATCTCATTTTCTCTTTTACAACTATAGCTACAAATATTATGATTATAGCAATCTATCTATATAATAAAAGTCTAAAAGACTGTTACAGTGTAAGGACCAGAATGACCAGTTGCTATGATGAGCACTGACCATCAGGAGGCAAACGCTCAAACAGGAGTTGTGGTCAGTGTGCTCCCATAGGGGGAGCACTGCTCACTCAGCCAGAAGCCGGGCTCACAGCTGGCAAGCGCAGTGGTGGTGGCCTCTCTCACCTCCACGGTAGCAGTAAGGAGCAGTGAGCTGAGCAATAAGGAGCCTGCCACTAAGGAGCAGTGAGCCGAGCGGTAAGGAGCAAGGGATCCCAGATTGCAACAGGGATGTCTATCTGCCGGTTTAGACCCGATCCCTATGCCAGCAGGAAGACATCCCCAGAAAGGTCCTGGACTGCAAGAGGACACAGGCTGGGCTGAGGCCCCACCTCCCATCCCACACCCCCAGTGCATGATTTTCGTGCACCAGGTTTCCAGTTAAAAAATATATTGATGGGCTACCAAAAAGCTCCTATCAATTTAAAATTATGTCTTATTTATCCATCTTTGTTGGGGTATTCAACACTCCTCCTAAGACTCCAGTTTACTGGCCCTAGCTGGGTGGCTTAGTTGGTTAGAGCGTCCTCCCAACACACCAGGGTTATGGGTGTGTTCCCCAGTCAGGGCACATTCAAGAATCCTCCCTCAGGGGGAGGGGGAGGTTGATTGTTGGTGCTGTTGAGGCCTAGAGGTTAATCTTGTACGTGGTAGTGGCTGTTGCCATGTCTCAAATAATTTTACTAGTACAGCCCACCAAGAGGCCAGAGGCAGAACTTATGCTGACTATGAACCAGTAAGTGAATGCATGGGAGGTGTTTGTAAAACGAATGAAGAACATCTAAAGAAAACGCATCCCACGTGATATCAGCCAGTTATTTGATTTTACTAGAGGCCCTGAGCACAAGATTCATGCATGGTGGTGGTGGTGGGGGGGTGTTTGTCCTTCAGCCCGGCCTGCACCCTCTTACAATCCAGTACTGCTGGCTCCTAAGTTTGCTTGCCTGCCTGATAGCCCCTAACCACCTCTGCCTATCTGCCTAATTGTCCCTAACTACTCACCTGCCTGCCCGATCACCAGTAACTGCTTGCCTGCCTGATTGCCCCTAACTGCTTGCCTGATCACCAGTAACTGCTTGCCTGCCTGCCTGATTGCCCCTAACTGCTTGCCTGATCACCCCTAGCCACCTCTGCCTCAGCCCCCGCACCAGTACCTAGGCTTCCCTCTTCTGACTGGCCACAGGCACCTGGGACTCTGGGCAGTGCAGCCCGGGCCCCTGCTTTGTCAGGAAGAACGTCCAGAATGACATCCAGAAGACATCTGGTCTAATTAGCATATTACGCTTTTATTAGTATAGATTTATGATCTGGAAGACCTCTGCTGTCTTGTTCACTGAGTTGATACCCAGACATACCAGCCTCATAACAAAGACTGAATTAAAGAGAAGATCTACATGCTCTTCCTTGGCAGGTCCAAAAGACCAGGAAATAGTTGTGTTGGAAGCATTGGGGATTGGAGATGAGCTAGGAACACAGATGTGTACAGCTATCTGTAGTGGAAGTTTTGTATTATAGTAATCCTGTTTCCATTTTGGTACACTCTAGACAGTTGGAATATGTTAGATGAAATGTGAGGATCTTGTTCAATATTTTTTTAAATAAATATATTTTATTGATTTTTTACGAAGAAGAAGAGAGAGGGATAGAGTGTTAGAAACATCGATGAGAGAGAAACACCAATCAGCTGCCTCCTGCACACCCCTTACTGGGGATGTGCCTGCAACCAAAGTACATGCCCCTGACCAGAATCGAACTTGGGACCTTTCAGTCCTCAGGCTGATGCTCTATCCACTGAGCTAAACCAGTTTAGGCTCTTGTTCAATCTTAAAGTCCCATCACACACCCCACTTTTTTTTTACTTAAACATTGTTATGATGATTTACAATGAAGTTTTTCTTTATCAATTAATGTTGGTTCCAGTTAAAAACTGTTCATATCTGCTTTATAACATTTACTGTACTAACCCTTCTTCAAGTTGGGGTGAAAGATGGTAATACAGTATAAGTATGACCTAAGATAAGTCTTAGTGAAAAACAAATATTCTTTAGTAAAAAAAAACAAAACAAAAAGAATCAACCAGTGCTGGAACCGGTCTGGCTCAGTGGATAGAGCGTCGGCCTGTGGATTGGAAGGTCCCGGGTTCGATTCCGGTCAAGGGCATGTACCTTGGTTGCAGGCACATCCCCAGTGGGGGCTGTGCAGGAGGCAGCTGGCGATGTTCTCTCTTATCGATGTTTCTAGCTCTCTATCTCTCTCCCGTCCTCTCTGTAAAAAATCAATAAAATATATATTTTTTAAAAATCAACCAATGCATAAATAAGTGGAACAACACATCAGTGTTTCTATATTTCTTCTCTAAAAATCAATCAATAAAAAAATATATATACAGTATAGCCCAGCTGGTGTGGCTCAGTGGTTGAGGATCAATCTATGAACCAGGTCACAGTTTGATTCCTGGTCAGAACAAGTTCTCCATACATAACCAGGTTGCAGGCTTGATCCCCAATAAAGGCATGCAGGAGGCAGCTGATCAAAGATTCTATCTCATCACTGATGTTTCTATCCTTTTTCCCTCTCCCTTCCTCTCTGAAATCAATAAAAATATACTTAAAAATTAAATAAAAATAATTAAAAGAGGATTCCAGATTTCTAAAACTAAGTTTTTAATTGCCAAAACTTTATTTCAACTATTTCAGATATTACCTATCTTCTGCCTATTAATCAAAAGGTACTTAACTTTTCTTTGCTTACTGAGGATCACTATTATGTACATCCACTAGAGGCATAGCGCATGGAATTTGTGCACGGGTACTATCCCTAGGCCTGGCCTGTGATCAGGGCCATCTTCCCCAGCTGTCCCCAGCCGGACCTGCCCTCCACCGCCCCTCACCCCCAGTTCTCTATTCACCATTGGGTGATTGGAGCCTGCCAGCTGGGGAGAGGAACCAAAAAGTCAGTCACTCTGCCCACTCAATAGCCCCAGCCCCTGTGTGCAGGGCAAGAGGTGGGGTGCCACCTGTGTCTCCCGCCACCCACCCCTGGTTCCCATTCACCATTGGGCAATCAGAGCCTGCCAGCCAGTGAAAGAGACCAAAAGGTGGCCATTGTGCCTCATAGTGACTGGAGCAGTTGTTCTGGTTATTCTGCCATTAGGGTTAATTCGCCTATTACCCTTTTATTATATAGGATTATTGTCAAATCTGTCAGTAATAGGTCCAAGCTTCCTTTTCAGTTTCCCAGTCTCCTCTCTCCGTGTTAGGCTTAGGAAATCAGTTGTCACTTTTTTGGTACCCAGGTATCTACTTTTAACAGCATCTACTGCTCTATGCCAACTTTTCTCCTATGAGCTGACTAAACCAAATAATGGAATTTGTTAAAATATTTGGTAATTCAGGCACAACGTGAATTCTGAGAACAATGTAAGACAAAAGCACCTAGTTTCAGTGCAGGGGTACTAGAGTGTTGTCACATTTTTGAAATTATTTCAAAAATATTTTATGTGAACCCAGAAAGATGGCAAGGGTACATTTACATAAATAATTTCAATCTTTAGCATACCCATTTTGTGTTATCAGTTCAATTTTCAGAATTCTTATTAAAAGTATAAAAATTAGTCAGAGAAAGATAAATATCACGTGATCTCACTCATATTTGGATATAATGATCAACACAATTTGATGGAACAAAAATAGATCCAGAGACAAATGGCAGGGGAGGTGAGGGAGGGTGGGTTAGAGAGTAACCCAAGGACTTGTATGCATGCATATTAGCATAACCAATGGACACGGACATGGGGGCAGTGGGGGTTTGCCTGGGGTGGGAATGGTTGGAGAGCGGGGGTTCAACTGGGGGGAAAAGAGACATATGTAAAACTTAAGATAATAATAAAAAAAAATATCCACAATACTAAAAAGTATAAAAACTGTTTAACTTTAGGTGAATGAAAGTATGAGTGCATTTTATTTCTTCTTTATAGTTACATTTATTTTCCATTCCTTAATGACAACTGTTTATAAGAAATTTAATTAAATTTCATTTAAAAAACTTTACCAACTAGAACTATACAACTTTGCATCAACAACTCTATAAAAATTCTAAACTGTAAAACATCAGCAAGAAGGAAATAAGAGTATTTCACTCACTTATTAGCAAGCAGATGCAAACTGATTATTCAAGATTGTTAGCAGTTCTCCTCCTGTAGCTTACTATGTTATCTACCACAGGTGACGGATATGTCTAGCCTATGACCAGTATAAATGAACTGAACAAGCTCTCCATACAGCATGGCAGCTGCCTAGAGTGGATGATTGAAAGCAATTATGATAAGCAAGCTAGATTTTAGTGATTACTCTCAAACAGCCAAAAGTTTCCCTTCTTCTCATTGCCCTGACTTTTTCAGACACATCCCTTCCTAGCTTTCAAAACTGTGATACAGTGGAAAGGGGCACTGAAAAGTTTGAGCTCGGGAGAAACCAAAATGGTGGCATAGGGTAGACACCTGAATGCAGCCTACCACAACAATTTTGAATTTAGAACTGGAAAACAGGGGAAACATCGCCCTGAAGCGCCAGGCGTCTGGCTGAGAGGAGGCTCTACTATTCAGGAAGGAGAGAAGGTACGCTGAGCTTCAAGAACTGTGAAGGTGCAGAGAACTGTGTGTGCGAAAAGGCTGCCGCTGGAGTTCCCTGCTGGCTTACTCCTGGCGCGCAGAGAGGGGGGCTGAGTTCCCTGCTGGCTTACTCCTGGCGCGCAGAGAGGGGGGCTGAGTTCCCTGCTGGCTTACTCCTGGCGCGCAGAGAGGGGGGCTGAGTTCCCTGCTGGCTTACTCCAGGCACGCAGAGAGAGCGGACAGCTAATGCATGGCTCGCTTTCTTGTTCCGGAGGAAAACAGAACCACCCTATTGCTCTGATAGACGGCCTCAGTCAGGGAGTGGCCAGACTGTCAGGCAATGGGCAGAGATCTCGCAGAGGTGTGTGAAGCCAGCAGCCATTACTGCAGGACTCAGGGAAAGGTTGACGGGGAAACAAAAGCTGGTCTGCACCACCCTGAGACTCCGCCCCATCCAAGCGGAGCATGGAAGCCCTCCTAGAGGCTGGCTTTCCCGTTCATTCACTGAGAATAGGACTTTCCTAAGAAGAGACTGGCGGGAATCCAAAGCTTGTCTGTGCCTATACCAAAGAGGACTCACTGCGAATAGGACTTTCCTAAGGCGAGACTGACAGGGAACCAAAGCTTGTCTGCGCCACCCCGAGACTCTGCCCCATCCAAGCTGAGCACAGAAGCCCTCCTAGCTGAGACACTGCTGATCCTCACAGCCAATTGGCTTGAAGATCAACACTTTCCAGTGATACCAACAACAAGCAAGGCTTAACAACAAGACTGCACACACAGCCCACAAAAGGCTACACCAAGACTGTCCACATCAGGTAACTGGGAAGGCTGAGCTACTGGGCTCTACCAGAACACCTAGCACACAAAACTATTCCATTAAATCAGGTAAGAAGCTAAAATGCAGAGAAGAGGCAGACCACAAAGGAAGGAGATGGAGGATAGTAAAAGAATGGACATTGAGTTCAAAACTACAGTTACAAGGTTTTTCAAGAATTTCCTAAAAAAGGCTGATAAAATAAATGAGACCTATAGGGTATGAAAAGGGATCAACTAGAAATAAAAAGGGATCATCTAGAAATAAAGAAAACATTGTCTGAAATAAAAAATATTACACAGAGTCCTAAAAACAGTCTGGAAGATGGCAGGAATCAAGACGAAGATTTGGAACACAAAGAGCCAGAGGACACTCCTCCACAGAAGCAAAAAGATAAGAGAATCCGGAAAGTTGAAGATAATGTAAGAAAACTCTGGGACAATTTCAAGCAAACCAACATCAGAATTATGGGATCTCAGAAGAAGAGAGAGAGCAAGATACAGAAAGAATATTGGAAGAAATATGACAGAAAACTTCCCCCACCTGGTGAAAGAATTAGACTTTCCAGGAAGCACACAGAACCCCAAACAAAAGGAATCCAAAGAGGATCATACCAAGACATAATTAAAATGCCAAGAGCAAAAGACAAAGAGACAATATTAAAAGCAGTAAGAGAAAAGCAGGTAGTTACCTATAAAGGAGCACCTATACGACTGTCAGCTTATTTCTCAATAGAAACCATGCAGGCCAGACAGGAATGGCAAGAAATATTCAAGATGATGAATAGCAAGAACCTACAGCCAAAAATACTCTACCCAGCAAAGCTATCACTCAGAATCAAAGGCCAGATAAAGAGCTTCACAAATAAAAAAAAGCTAAAGAAGTTCATCACCGCCAAACCAGAATTATATGAATTGTTGAAGGGGGTTCTTTAAAAAGAAGAAGATAAAGATAAAAATTATGAACAATGAATACATAACTATCAACAAGTGAAACTAAAAGCCAAGGGAGTTAAAAAAAAATCTGATGAACAATATTAACTGTTGAATATAATAGAATCACAGGTATAGAAGGAGAGTGGACTGACGATTCTCAGGGAAAAGGGGAGTGGAGGGTGCGGGAAGAGACTGAACAAAAACTGTGTACCTATGGATGAGGACAATGGGGGGTGGGGAAAGGGCAGAGAGTGGGTTGGGAACCTGGTAGAGGGGAGCATTTGAGGGGGTGGAAGAGGAACATTTGTAATAATCTGAATAAAGATTTATTTTAAAAAAATAATAAATAAATAAATAAATACCTTAGATTTAAAGTGAAAAAAAAGAAAAGCTTGAGCTCTAATAATATTTATTATGCAACTAAAGATGATTGAAGTAACCTCTTCAGAGGCCCAATCACAGTGCTATAAAATGTGAGACAAACACATTAAGTGCTACATGAACATAAACAGTATTACTATTTTCCCATTTTTTTCTCCTAATACTTATCATTCTTGCTAATACCTTTCCCCAACATTTCAACTGCCACTTTACATCTGCTGTTGATCCCATGGCTACTGAGTTTTAGAAACATTAGTCACTAACGTTTCTGCTCCTATACAACACAATCCTAAAATCTAGGTTTTAGAGTCAGAGACACCTAAGCTAGAATCCTGGCTTCCAAATAAATGACAAACTGGGTGGTCTCCAGATGGCACAGTACCTGACCTCTCTAAATTATTTATTATATACTATGATGGTAATGATAGCATAGGATTAAGATTAAATAACATCATATACACTGAGTGGCCAGATTATTATGAACTCTGAAAGCATAATAATCTGGCCACTCAGTGTATATTCTATAACTCGGAGCTCAACCAGCAGGCAAGCAGGCCAACCACCCATGTCCCCTACCCCTGGCCAGGCTGGCCAGACCCCACCCATGCACAAATTCATACACCGGGCCTCTAATACACACACACACACACACACACACACACACACACACACACACACAACGAGTGGCCAGATTATTATGTGTTTGGAGATCATAATAATGTGGCCACTCAGTGTGTGTGTGTGTGTGCGTATATATGTGTATTCTTTTTTTATCTTATTGTTAATCCTCACCCAAGGATATTTTTAGGAAGAGTGGAAGAGAGAGGAAAAGATAGAGAGAAACATCAATGTGAAAGTGACATATCTATTGGTTGCCTCCTGCTCGAACCCAATCAGGGCCCAGGCCAGGGAGGAGCCTGCAACTGAGGTACATGCCCTGAACTGGAATCAAACCTGGGACTCTTTAGTACGCAGACTGATGCTCTATCCACTGAGCCAAACTGGCCACGGCTCTACTTATCTTAATTCTACACAGAATTCTATGAGCAATTCTCAAGTAAGACACTGTAAAAATTAAACAGCAGTAACAAATTTATAGTGAGACAAAGAATTGTAAATATAATATCACACACATTCACTTAAGTATGGCATATTGCTTATTTTTGTATAAAGTTATGTTGCTTCCGCTAATGCTTTTTAAATTTTAATCCTCACTCAAGAATATGTTTCTACTGAATTTAGAAAGAGAGAGAAGAGAAAGAGAGGAAAAAGGAGACAACAAGCAAAAAAATCTACATGAGAGAAACACCTATCTGTTACCTCCCATACACACCCTGACTAGGAATCAAACTCAAAACCTAAGTATGTTCCCACATTCTCTGACTGGGAATCGAACCCTCTACCTTTTGGTGTATGGAAGGATGCTCTAAATCAACTGAGCCACCTCCTCTGTAAGAAACCATACTTAGGGTATGAGCTAAATGGGATTTGAAAAAATAACAAAAAATGAATTCTCAAGAACTTTAGTGGCAAACTTCAAAAATCACCACAGAACTGGTTTAATTTTACTAACTCATAATTACATGCTATTTCCTACCCTTGTGAACTTGGAGCACATTTCCTCTGCTTCTTTTATCATATTTGCTCGAAGCATATACTTTGCGCATTTGGAATTTATGAATCTATCAGCCGTGTCTAAAGACTGTGCTTCATCCATCCACTTTGCAGCTTCTTTGAGATTACCTATATGCTTTAAGATATTAAGATATTACAGAAATTATAGTTTATGATTAAGAGAATATGGATGCAATACAAATAACAGTTTAGAAAGACAAATTAGAAATTTGGTGCCATTTTCGTAAAATTTATCTAGAAATCTTTAAATAAATTAAAATTCACACTTACTAAGAGCTGAATCAAATGATTAACACTGAGTCTAAAAATATGCAACCTAAAACTCTTTAGGATTATTAGAGTATTAGAAATAGATTATTATGGTTCCATAAAAGTTATTTCTACACAAAAATAACTCCAAGAGTTCTTACATGGCTAAATTCTTCAATTATTCATAAAGCACGTCTAGGATTTTACCTTGTAAATTTTTGCTTTCATATAGAATAATTCTATTAGAGTTGGAGTATTAGCAATTGCAGCATTAATATAATCCAGAGCCAAAGAATATTGCCCAAGTTTATCAAAGTGCTGTGCCAGGAAATACTGAACCCAGAGTAGTGTTGTTGGAGGTTCCTTCTCCCCATTCTCTGCAATCAAACAAACATAAAAATTATTATAGGGAAGAAGGCAAAGTAAAGAATAAAGGATATCAGATACTTTCTCTCACCCAAAGCATAATGAAATTAATAATTATAATAATAAACAGTAAAAACCCAGCAAGGTAACCAATTTCAACAGAAAGAGGTATGACTTCCTTCATCAAATTCAAAAAGTAGCAGTCAAGCAAAGAAATAAGATACTAGTTTCATAGGCTTCTAACCCACCCTCACTCCAACGAAAGTCTTGAAGAAAGAAGGTAAATCAATTTAACTATGAATTCTCAAGGCTGGGAGTGTAAGACAGCAGATCAAGAAAAATAGATTGGAGAAAAATGTCCCTAACTCCCACTGCAAGATTTTCTTTCTTTCTTTTTCTTTCTTTCTTTTTTTCTTTCTTTCTTTCTTTTTTTTTTTTTTTTTTTTAATATATTTTATTGATTTTTTACAGAGAGGAAGGGAGAGAAATAGAGAGCCAGAAACGTCAATGAGAGAGAAACATCGACCAGTCGCCTCCAGTGTACATGCCCTTGACCGGAATCGAACCCGGGACCTTTCAGTCCGCAGACCGACACTCTACCACTGAGCCAAACCGGTTTCGGCCCACTGCAAGATTTTCACATAGGCAAGAACTGCTAGGACTTAACACTATCTAGGCTTCAACACTAAGTCAGGGAAACCCAAAGTTGAAGAGTATGAATAAGACTAGAAGCCCAGTGCATGAAATTCGTGCACTAGTAGGGTCCCTAGGCTTGGCGGGCAATCAGTGCTGATCAGAGCCTTCTAGCTGCCAGCCAGGGCCTTCCTTCATTCCAAGCCACCCCTTGGTGATAAGCAAACGACATAGCGAGTGGTTGAACTCCCAAGGGGACACTTTGCATATCAGCCTTTAATATATATAGATACTTTCCTGACAAGGTAGAAGTAACTCTATATGACAACAACACTCATATCCAATCAGCTGTTACCATCCTGTATCTTCAAGCTACAACAGAATAGATAAAGAAATAAATACCAAGCTCTCAAAATAGATTATGGAAGTGGCTAAATTAAGTTCTACAGGTATAAAATGAGGACAAAAGAATGAAAAAGAATTTACCCATACTACATCAGAAAAACTCAGGTCATCTGGACTAGCTACCAAATAAAACAACAACATGCAAATGCACAAATTATTATAAATTAAACACAAATAATAAAGAAAGGCAAAGAGCCTAGCATTTATCTTATTCCTCCTCCATAAATTATAGTTCAGAGGAACTGAATATTTGATGAGAAGTTCTTTATAAGATTTCTAACTAATAAATACAAAAGAAATGATTATTTGAATAAAATAAGAGATTGGGGCAAAGATTCTCAGTGGCTGCTGAAACCATTAGGTGAGAGACCAATGAGGAATGCTTTAATGGACAGATCAGGCTGGCACTGTCTGAATCCTGACCAACCTTAACATCACAAAGAGACAGAGTATCTTCTACCTCAAGTTGTGATATAACAGGAAATACAATGCATCACATATGAAGTACTCAAATGGAACCTGATTTTAATCAAGCTTGTAAATTTCTTTGCAAGAAATATAGATGATAGCAAAACATATTAAATGATATCATGAGAAAGCAAATCAGCCAAATCCAGAATATGGGACATTACACAAGACAACCTTTAACTTTTTTTTAAGGGAGTGGAGGACATTCCTCAAGATTAAAAGAATATCAGAGACATAAAAATCAAGTGTGGACTTTAGTGGGATCCAGATAGAAATAAACCAATTATACAAAGACTTAAGGTAATCAGGGAAATTTGTATGTACACGGGGTATTAGATAAGGTATGAGAATTAATTTTGTGTTAGACAGAATTGTGGTTACATCTTAAACCTGTGGTTTTAAACAGCTAGTGATGTATACTAAAGTAATGACAGGTAAAATAGTATGTCTGCTTTAAAAATATTCCAGGAAAAGAAGTAGACAGAAGGTACTTCAAATAAGACTGGCAAAATGTTCACAGCAGAAGCTGGGTGATGGGGACACAAGAGTTCATTATTCTATTTACTTCTGTGTCTATTATATGGAATTTGTTTCAAACTGACAAAAACAAGGGAGCAATGACATATAAAAGACATGAAGAAACCAGACTAAAGTTACCATCTGCATCACTGAAAGCAATATAGAGTGTTTTCTGAAGTTGCCTTGATTTACATATGCCCCTATAAACAGAAAAACAAAGAACCAAATTTTATAGAATTTGAAGTAAAAAAAAAACAAAAAAAAAACAAAGAGAAAGTAGGGATTCAGTAATAATGTATTTCAATAAAACTAACTGGCCCTAATCAGTTTGGCTCAGTGGATAGAGCATCGGCCTGCGAACTGAAAGCTCCCAGGTTCAATTCTGGTCAAGGGCATGTACTCTGGTTACAGGCACATCCCCAGTAGAAGGTGTGCAGGAGACAGCTGATCAATGTTTCTCTCCATATATGTTTCTAACTCTCTATTCTTCTCCCTTCCTCTCTGTAAAAAATCAATAAAATATGGGGGGGAAAAAAAACACAAAAAACCTAACTGCATCATCTCTGAGAGCCATTCAGTCTCTCAAGTCTTTACTTGTGTTAAAATAGGGTTAACTCCCACCTCAAATTATGGAAATTTTTAATTAAATAAAATTGAAGTGCTCTTTGTATTTACTAATTCAAAAACTTTTCAGTAAATAGTTATCAGGTATCATGTACATAATAAACATAAGATAGTTTTAGTGTAAATTATTAAAGATGGATTAAATGAGTAATCAAATTCCAGTTGAATCTAATTTAAACTTACCATAAGGGCTAAAAAAGTCACATGTTTTTAGAGAGGCTTCATAATTAGTAACAAGCTCCTGGATCACAGATATCTGTCAAAGAAACAGTTTTAAATATTTCATTAAAGGTATTTATATTTATTATAAATTAAATTAGATTTGGAAACAATATACAGGTTATTTCAAAATTAAAAATTAACTAAACTACTAAAGTATCTGCTCTTCCCCATTTCCTATGTGGGGAAAAGTGAGAAAAAAACAACACACACATACACACACACACACACACACACACACAGAGAAAACACACTGATCTCTTTATTAATAATAAAACAGAATCTCATTAATTTCTCATCCTAATAAGTAGTTTCAGGTTTTTGGTTTTTTTTTTAAATATATTTTATTGATATTTTACAGAGAGGAAGGGAGAGGGAGAGAGAGTTAGAAATGTCGATGAGAGAGAAACATCGACCAGCTGCCTCTTGCACACCCCGACCGGGGATGTGCCCGCACCCACATGCCCTTGACTGGAATCGAATCTGGGACCTTTCAGTCCGCAGGCCAACGCTCTACCACTGAGCCAAACCGGTTTCGGCAGTTTCAGGTTTTGAAGGACAAACTATTATTAGTTGTTACAAAACCTTTATTCCTCCAATAAACACATCTGTATACTTTATTACTAAGTTAATTTGTTTGCTTTTTGCTTCTCACTGTTTTACTGTGGAGTTATAGGCCATTATATATTCAAATTTTCTAAAATGTCACTCATAAAAAAGTCAAATAAAATTGATCTAAACTATACAGTGAGTTGATGAAAAAAGAGGTTAAGTAAACTAGATGTCCACTTTAATAAACAGATTTGAATTTCAATGCTACTCAGGTAAAACAAAAATATTATAAACTGCACTATAAATGTTATATGTCCTGAAAGTGCCAAATAAGTTACATGAATTATAAGTGGCAGTAGACATTAAATGTACCTACTGATTTTAAATGCCTATTGATGTTAACTATTTAGAATAAATTGGAAAATAACCATCTTATTTGTGAACTCAAAGAAAAAACTAAGGTCAAAAGTATAGGAATTTCCACAGCAACTATACTTTTTTTTTACAACAAAGTTATGTGTGCATACTTTGTCTGACTTATATGGTATACAAGAGGCCTGGTGCACGAAATTCGTGCAAGAGTAGGCCTTCCTTCCCCCAACTGCTGGCACTGGTTTCCCTCTGGCACCTGAGACCCAGGCTTCCCTCGAAGCCCCAGTTTCATCCAGAAGGTGGTCCAGAAGGATGTCTGGACTAATTAGCATATTATGCTTTTATTATTATAGATATGGTTTGGGGATTGTAAAGTTTTGTGTAATGAAATCTGTTACAATGTCAAAAAAAAAAAAGTGAAGGAAAACCATTAAAACTTTTAATAGTGTCTGACCAATATGGTATTATTTTGATAATTTGAAAGTTTTCTAGTTTTAAAAAGTGAGATGCTACTAATACCATCAGAAAAAAAAGAATATAACAGGCAGGGTAACAATATCAATAATAAGCCATTAATTGTCACTTTAAACATGCAAAGAAAAATCAAAATTAGCTGAAAGTATAAAATGGAAAAACCAGAATTTAACCCAAGCAGCAGGCTAGCTCTTAACTACTCTGCTACAATGGTCACCAATATCTCCAGCATACTTACTACTCAAGGGCAATTCTTGACTCACAGAGTTACATTAAGACTAGAAACCAACAACTCAAAATGGATTAAGAACCTAAATATAAGGCCTACAACAACAAAACTCTTAGGGGAAAAAACAAAACAAAACAGGACAAAAAAGCTTCCCAACATTGAATTTGGCAATGCTTTCTTGTATATGACACCAAAGGTATTGGTAACAAACAAAACAATACAAAAATAGACAAATTAAACTTCAGGAAAGTTTTGTGCATCAAAAGAGTCTCTACTCACAGAGTAAAAAGGCAACCCACAGAATGGGAAAAAATATTTGCAAATCATATATCTAATAAAAGATTACTATCCAGAATATATAGAGAACTCATAAATACAAACAAAACAAAAAATCTGATTTTAAAAATGGGACAGGTACTTAAATAGACATTCTTTCAGAAATGATATAAAAATAAGCCGTAAGCACATGAAAAGAGGCATATGAATAATCATTATAGAAATGCAAATAAAAACTACAATGAGATACAACTTCACACCCAGGAGGAATGGCTAAAACAAAACAAAACAAAAAATTGAAAACTAACCACCAAAGACTCAAAGGACTATTTTTTCCATGAAGTTTAACATTAACATCAGTGAATCCATGTATTCATATATTTTTATTGTAAACATCTGAATTATTCACATTGTCATAGATCCTGAACTTAGAAGCATGGACCATGTACAGGCTGGAAGCAAGCCAGGAAGCCACTCTGCAAGCAAACAGTTACTCTGCATAAGAAGAAAAGTCATAGCACAACATTTAATGTCCAACCTGAGTCACTTCAGAATGTTACATATATTGACTTCTTAATTCACATAGTATCAGGAACTAAACTGCTTGGTTGGTGACAGGATTGACCTGGTTTCAGGAGGATTATTCCTGAAATAATTAAGAAAAGAGGCTCAATCTTTTCTTGGTTGCTTGCTTTTCCCCAGCACCTTCATCTTTCTTCTCATCCTGGGGCATCTTCTCCTTCACCTTCACCTCCTACTTCTTCCTCCTTTGCATCCTCAAATTCTTCCTTGGCACCTTCTTCCTCTTCCTCTCCTTCCTCTTCATCAGCTACTTCCTTCTCCTTCTCCTCCTCCTCTTCAGCTTCTCCTTCAAAAGGGTGTTCATCCTTAGCTTCCTCTGCTTTTGCAGCCTCAATGGTCTCTTCCACCTTGATCTGCTCCTCCTGGACATGGCTGGTGTATTAAGAAGGGAAGGAGCAAGCGGACATCAAGTAGGAGCTAGTCTGTAAACCACCTTAGGAAGATCGACCAAAGATCTGGGAACTCCAGGAGTAGCCACTGGCTATGCTTACCACACTGGTGAAACTGAGCTTGGACCTCACGCTCCAAGAGTTTCCTGCAAACTGCAATGTCAATGTCCAAAGCCACATTGAGGAGGTCCTGGTATTCTTTCAAATACCATGCCATTTCACTCTTTGTAGTTCTCAATTCATTTTCTAATTTGTTGACTTTGTCGTGTATAGCACTAACATCAGAGTTCTGTTTATCCTCCAGCTCTCGCAGCTGCTTTCCCAAAACTTAGTTCATGCCCTGGCATGTTTTGATCTCCAGGGTCTTGGCCTTGAGCAGGTGGCAGCTTTCAGATACCTCCTCCTTGGTGGCGCGCATTCCATAGGTGTTCTTGGCAGTGCTCTTGGTCAGCATGGTGAAGCAGCTCTTGTACCATTCTTCTGCATTCTGCATGTTCTTGGCAGCCAGCTTCTCATACTAGGCAGAGAGGTCGGACTTGGAAAACATGCCCATATCCATGAAGATCTGAGCATACTGGATCTGCACCTGCAGCTCGGTGATATCCTCTTCATGCACCTTCTTCAAAAAGGTGATTTAGTTCATCAGGCTGTTGGTGCACTTTTCAAGCTCATCATCAGCGAGAGCCACTTCATCTGCACCTTTGCGTGCCTCCATTAGCCAGCCCTCTGCATCATCATGGTTCAGCACCTTTTCCTGGTAGCATACCTGCAGGTTTCTCCCAATCCCTTCCAAGCCCTGGTGCCTGCTAACTGCCACTGCCCTCTCCTCACCAGGGACTGGCGCAGTGGGCCAGGGCCGATTCAATTTTCATTAAAATGTTCAACCCCGGCCTGCTCCACCGCTGTCCACAGTCAGCCCAGGGGCAGACAGTGATCCCAGAGACCCTGGGCACCCAAACCTACCCAGGGTCTCAGTGGCTGCCTGGACACTGTGGGTGGCATCAAGCGCTGTCCCCCGGCCTTGCCCGGTTACCTGCCATGGCTTCAACCCAGCAGGCGACATCAGGCTCTGCCCACCTAGCCTGCCCAGTTACTAATGGTGGCCTGGACACTGCGGATGGTGTCACGCACTGCTCGTCAGGTCTGCCCGGTTACCAATGGTGGCCTGGACCCCGAGGGTGCATAAGGCACTGACCGCCTGGCCTGCCTTGTCCCCGATGGCAGCATGTACACTGTGGGTGGCATCAGGAGCAGTCCGCCAGTCCTGCCTGACCCCAATAGTTGCCTTGATCCCTTGGGAACTATCAGGCACTACTCGCCAGGCCTGCCTGGTTACCAATAGCTGAATGGACCCCAAAGGCAGCATCAGGCGCTGCCTGCTCCTCCTGCATATGCAAATTCCCCCTCCATCTTTGTTGCTTAATTTACAAACCATTCCTGATTGGCTGCGGGTGTAGCGAAGATACGGTCAATTAGCATTTTTCTCTTTTATTAGTGTAGATAAACTAGGAGCCCAGCACATGAAATCTTGAGACACAGAACCCAAAGTCCCGCAGCTCTGCGGGACCCAGAAAGAGTCCTGCAGCTGCTGCCGCCATGAGAGGCAAGACCCAGAAAGAGTCCCGCGGCTACAGGAGGCAAAACCCGGAAATCCAACCATGCCTCCGGTCAAATCCTTCTGAGTCAAGTCCCCACCCATCTGCACGCCTTGCCGTGCACGCAGCTTCCTGCTGATCAGTCATTACGGTGTGATGACCACAGGCTTTTTATATAATAGCATATTTTTACATGAAAATCTTTCTAAAACAACTCAGCAAAAATACTGCAGCAAAAGTGAATGAAGACCAAATTTTACCTTTTCTGTATTGTAATATAAAGATTTCAAAGTAGTAAACAACGGTGGGCAGCCTTTACTGAAGTTAACTCTCAGGAACGAATCCATTAACTCTCTAAATTTTTCACCTAGAAAGGAAAGTGTATTTTGTTATGGTTTAATTAATGTAAATAGTTCTCAAAATGATTTTATAAATAAAAATCAATTCAGAAACAAATACACTTCTTGCCAATTTTTAAACCCAAAAGTCAGTCAGCAAACATGATTTCTTGTTTGTTACCAGCAAAAAGTCTAACACCAAATATCTCAGTTGGCAGCTAAAGTTTTCCCTAGACCTAGGTTCAAAATATCAGAACACTTCCAAAGATAGATAAATAAAAGGACTATGCAGCTTTAAGTAAAAATATAGTCACCACTCTAAATATAATCCCCATAGCAAATATATCTCCTAATCTCAACAACCAGCACTGATTCAGTCCTATGAGCAGACAACTCATAAAGGACTCTGAAGATTATAAAATGATTCTACTGTAACCAGACCATATTCAAGTAGCAGCCAAAATAATTTTTAAAAACTAAAGCAGTATTTACAAATGTTCCAAACCAACTTATTATTTACTTCAACATTCATTCACTCCACAATCATCTACCAAGCACCTACTATGTGCCAGGCACATTCCCAATACTGGGTATTAAAGTTTAAAAATCATGGAACTTAACATTTCAGGAGTGAGAAAGACAATAAATAAAAGAACACATGTTATTAGACATTAGTCTGAACGCTGGGGCATTCTAACTTTAGAATTAAAATAAATACCCTATTTGCAATATAAAGTAAATAATTCTATTAATGTTAAACCTCCCAAAAATAATTTTGGTATCACTTCTTGAAAGCAGATAAAAAACTGAAAAAGGTATTAATATTAAATACAAGGTTCTAACTCAGATATGTGAACTTTTTGACAGGCATGGCTCCATGATAGAAAATTACCATGTACCAAGAAGTCAGGCACATGCCTGGGTTACATGCTTAATCGCCAGTAGGGGGGGAGGTCAAGGAGGCAGCTAATTGATGTTTCTCTCATCAATGCTTCTATCTTTCCTTTTCCCTTCCTCTCTCTAAAAATAAAATATATATGTATATATTTTAAAAAGAATGCTTGTTTGTAATAAATGGTTTAACGAAAAGTAAGGTTAAGAAAATGAACTCTCAAGGTTTCTTTATGAATGACACTTTACAAAAAAAAGCACCAACCTGAAGTGGTTATTTCTATTTGTTATGACCAACAGGGCTAAACAAAATATGTATCCTCAACATAATTACATGCCATAAAATATAAAAGAGAATTTTAAATTTTACTGAGTGCAAAATTTATCAAATATAAAAAGTTACATTTGTTAACTCAATTTACTATAAAGACTGTTTCCAGATTATCACTAATCTTTTATGTGAAAATATACAAAGTATAGGTCTTTTGAAAATCACAGATTACCAAGACAACACAAAATTTCTCTTTGGGTTGAACATACATCATTACTTCCTTAAAAATCAAAAGAAATTTCAGAAATCAAATCTTTCCAGCACGTCTTCTGAAATAAAGCAAAAGTTAACAATATTGTATTGTGGTAGCAGAGATGTTGTTGCTTACAGAAATATAAACCTCCACTTACTTTGTATAACCTTGTACAAACAACTTGTCTACTAAAAACCTATCCTTCTCTACTGTAAAATGAGTGTAACACCATTAGCCTCAAGAGTACTCTTCTGCCGAAACTGGTTTGGCTCAGTGGATAGAGCGTTGGCCTGCGGACTGAAGGGCCTCGTGTTCGATTCCGGTCAATGGCATGTATATTCATTGCAGGCACATCCCCAGTAGGGGGTGTGCAAGAGGCAGCTGGTCGATGTTTCTAACTCTCTGTCCCTCTCTCTTCCTCTCTGTAAAAAATCAATAAAATATATTAAAAAAAAAAAAAAAAGAGTACTCTTGTTCAAACAAGATAATAAGTATACAATAGTAAGCAATGTGTATGACATATAGTAATCAATAAATGTTGTCTATCATTATATGCCTTGCTCTCTGACAACTGTTATATTTATATGGTTAATAATCTTTTCCATTATTTGCTATCTGCTGAAAAACAAGCATTTTATTTTCATGTCAGAGATTACTCTAAACTCCACTTCTTGGTCAAATTTCTCAGTCTATGCATATTATACTGGCAGATTTTATTTAAAACTAAAGGCTCAGTGCATGAATTTGTGCACAAGTGGGGCCAGGCCATATGGGGGAAGGGGATGCAGGAGATTGCAGGGCTGGCCTCACCCCAATTGGAGGCTGGCAGTAGGGAGCAGAAAAATCTATGTTTGCAATCACTTTTGTACAAAATGGGGGGGGGGGGGGGGGGACGACTATAAATCAACTAGCCAAACATATTTTTATTTGTCTATGCACAATGTATTTCTAGAAGAACACACCATATACTGGTAACAACAGTTGTCTCTAGGAAAGCAAACTTGGTTGCCAGGGAGACAGTTTTGTACCCTTTGACTAATATTTGAAACTGTATGAATGTATCATCCAAACAAGAAGCCTACAAACAGCTACTCAACTACTCATTCCCATATGGTATTATATCCAAAAATTACTATCGTAGTTTTTGCTTTAGGTATAAGAAAAACTCTTTCAAAATCATCAAAAAGATATCAATATGAAAAGAACTAATGTACTTTTTACCTCCTATAGAGCCCAAATGTGAATGAGTTTAACTACATGCAACAACCTGAAACAAGGTCATTAATATACTATTGTTCAATAAAAGCAAATCACAGAATATAAACTATAATACTCCAATTTATAAGTACAAAAGCAGGGCATTTTTTGTTTTGTTTCTGGACATCTAAAATAAATAGAGCTCTATAAAAACAATGGCATGATAAAACCAACTATCAGGAAAGATGTCAAGTCTGAGGAGAGAAGACCTTCAATAGGAATGTGATATTCTTATATTGAACATGGTGGGTACAAAGAGCTCACAACTCTTTCTTTGTACTTATTTTCTTAAATTATCCAAAACTACAAAATTTCTACCACTTAAATCATATTACATCATATAAAATTTGTCATCAACTCCAAGAATTTCATTTACTTCTTTCTTTTTTTTTTTTAAATAAAATATATATTTTATTGATTTTGTACAGAGAGAAAGGGAGAGATAGAGAGTTAGAAACATCAATGAGAGATAGACATTGATCAGCTGCCTCTTGTACACCCCCTACTGGGGATATGCCCGCAACCAAGGTACATGCCCTTGACCGGAATCAAACCTCGGACCCTTCAGTCCACAGGCCGACACTCCATCCACTGAGCCAAACCGATCTTGGCTCATTTACCTTCTAAAATGGCATTTAATTTTTAAAGTCACATAAGAAAAATAATTTTATATAATTTCTGATACATAAAACCAACATATAGCTATATACTGAACACTCTTATTAACAGATGCATAATAAATTAATAAATGACCACACCCACCTCCCAGAATGGTACAGATGTAAAATGTAAATTGTGCTGAGTAATTTTAACAAATAGTTGTTAGTGTTACAAAGATATGCTAATATTACCTGGGACAAGATTCAAAGGCAATCTTCTAGGTGAAATTGCTCTGGGATGCTGTTTACTAATTTCTTCATAAATCTGAAGCCTCTCTTCTAAAGTGCCTATTATCAAAAAAATATATGTGAAATTCAAATAATAATCAAAACTTATCCTATATAATAAAAGGCTAATATGCAAATTGCCACTTCAACTGAGAGTTTGACCACAGGGCAGGGCCGGCTGTCCAACCTCTGGCTTCCCCTCCCCCCCGCCAACTGGATTGGCCTCAAATGGGGCGAGCCAGCCAAACCCCATCTGTGCATGAATTCATGCACGGGGCCTCTAGTATCTATCGGGTCTAGTAATATTTAATGTCGTTTTAAAACATTCGTTTAAAATCTTGCTTGGCATTGACTTGTATTGACATAACCTTCAAACACGTGGTATCTACAGAACGTGTGAAGTGCAATTAACAAGTTTTGCTTGAAAAAGTTTGTGTTTGGTTTGGTTTTTGTTGCAAAACTAGGGCTAAGAAGATGGCGGATGAAGAGCATATTCGGCACTGCATGCTTTACGAGTTCCAATTAGGAAGAAAAGCAAGTGAGGCTGCAAAAAACATCTGTAGTGCTCTTGGTCAAGATGCAGTTAGCGCCAGAAAATGCCAGCATTGGTTTGAGAAATTTCGCGAGGGAAATTTTTCGTTAGATGACAAGAGTGGTCGAGGCCGTGTGTCCAATTTTGATCAAGAAGCTCTTCAAGCTCTTTTGGTGCAAAATCCTCAAATTACCCAACAAGAGCTTGCGACAACTTTCAATTGTTCACAAAAAACAATTTCCAATCAATTGCGTGCACTTGGCAAAGTCCAAAAGTTTGGAAAATAGGTTCCTCATGAGTTGACTGACAACAACCATAATCAAAGAGTCACAATTTGCAGTTCGCTTCTCTCTCGTCAAAACCATTTGCCGTTTTTAGAGCAAATTGTTACCGGAGATGAAAAATGGGTATTGTATGTTAATTTGAAAAGGCGGCCTCAATGGGTTGGACAAAAATGAGGCTCCGCAGCCCACGCCAAAACCTGACTTGCATGCAAAAAAAGTGATGTTGTGTGTTTGGTGGAATTTTAAAGGAATTCTTCATTATGAACTTTTACCATCTAACCAAACCATTACAAGTGCAGTGTATAGTGCCCAATTGGAAAGGTTAGCCCAAGCTTTAAGAGAAAAAAAACCCGAGCTGATTAATCGGAAGGGCGTAATTCTTCACCAGATAACGCACGACCGCATACTGCAAGAATCACTGCTGAAAAACTGCGCCAGTTGGAATGGGAAGTTCTCCCTCAACCTGCATATTCTCCTGATATTGCCCCTTCCGATTACCATTTGTTTCGTTCTTTGCAAAACTTTCTTCTTGGAAAAAAATTTAATAATGAAGAATGCCTCAAAAATGCATTGACCGAATTTTTTGCATCAAAATCACAAGAATTTTACAACAGAGGGATTAAAATGCTTCCTGAGCATTGGGCACAAGTAGTAGAAAACAACAGCAACTATATTGTTGATTAAATTTTGTTGTATTGTTTAAATAAATTCGATTTAAGAGAGGAGGATCCAAGATGGCTGCTCGGGTAGACATCTAGCCGCGGCAGCACACAACAATTTCAATGGAATACAACTAAAATGTAGAGTGGACATTGCCCAGAGCTACAGGTAGTCGACTGACTGAAATTTCTACAACAAGAAGGAAAGAGAAAACCAGAAAGAAAATCAGAGGAGCTGAAAAAAAGCCTAAGGTACGGAGACATGATGCGCGCGCGTGCCCGCCCGCACGCGTGCATGGAGAGGTCGCAGCCGGAGAGGAGGAGAGGGCGGGGAGCCGCCTTTCCTTCCCTAGCAGGAAGGAAATAAAACTCCCAGCCTGGGCTGAACCCCCGAACCGGCAGCGCTGAGCCCCAGTTATGGGCCAGACCCTGGGGACCCAGGCTCCGGCGGGAGGAGACAGGGCCGTGAGGCGGAAAAACGGCGAAAGGCAGGGCCCCAGGAGTCGCGCGCAATGCGCGCAGAGGACTGAATGTTGACTCTGATGCTGGGTTACCCTAGCCGGAAAAAACAAGGCCTCCGGCAGCGCTGAGCCTCAGTCCAGACTGCTCCGAACCCCAGTTCTGGGCCAATCCCTGGGGACCCAGGCTCAGGCAGAGGGAGACGGGGCTGTGAGGTGGAGTCCGGGGAGAGCGGCGAAAGGCCGGGCCCCGGGACTCGCGCAAACTGCGCGCAGAGGACAGTCTGTGGGACTCGCGCAAACTGCGCGCAGAGGACAGTCTGTTGACTCTGATGCTGGACTTCCCTAGCGGGAAGGAGAAAAAAAAAGCTCTAGGCTGGGGGAACGCGGAGGGGAGCGGAAGCCCCTGCCGGACTCCAGCCAACCGGGCACCAGCAAGGAGGCGGGCCATGGGGCCCCTGGGGGCGTGGGTGCCCCTGAGCCTTTGACCACTGAGCTCGGGCAATGGAGCCAAGGCCTGGGGCTGCTTCCTGGGCGGCGCCGTCCCGGCAACAGGCTGAAGCAGCACAGGAGCCCGAGGATAACAAAGGGGTGCCACAGGCCAACCTGCTGAGCTCCCAGGACAAGGAGGAAGAAACCAAAGAAGTTCTCAATGTGAAGAAATCAAGTGAGAGCAAAAAATAGTAAAATTACTTAAGAAAGAATACAAAGAAGTTCTTGAAAAAATCAAAGACTAAGTCAGAACTCAACTCACCAGCCAACATTGCAACATAAATGCGTTTTAAAAAGAAAAAAAAAGGACAGAATGTTGGAACAGCGACGGCCAGGCCTAGAGTGGCCAGGCACAAGGCAGTGGCAGCCAGACCCGGAGCAGCAACGGCCAGGCCCCAGAACAACAGCAGCCAGAACCAGAGCATCAACAGCCAGCACTGGAGTAGCCAGACCTGGGGCAGTGGCAGCCAGGCATGAGGCGGAGGCGGCCAAGCCCAGGGTGGCCAGTCCAGGAACACCCAGACCTGGAGTGGCCGGGCCCGAAGAAGCCGGGCCCAGAGCAGCCGGGGTGGGAGCAGCCAGACCCAGAACAGCAGTAGCCAAGCCCAGAGCATCCAGGTCGGGAGTGGCCAGGCTCGGAGCGGCCGGGCCCGGGGCAGCCGGGCCCAGAGCAGCCGGGTCAGGTGTGGCCAGGCCCGGAGCAGCAGCTGCCAGGCTGGGAGCGGCCAGGCCCGGGGGAGCAGTCGGGTCGGGTGCGGCCAGGCCCGGAGCAGCGGCTGCCAGGCTGGGAGCGGCCAGGCCCGGGGGAGCAGGCGGGTCGGGTGCGGCCAGGCCCGGAGCAGCGGCTGCCAGGCTGGGAGCGGCCAGGCCCGGGGGAGCAGGCGGGTCGGGTGCGGCCAGGCCCGGAGCAGCGGCTGCCAGGCTGGGAGCGGCCAGGCCCGGGGGAGCAGGCGGGGCTGGTGCGGCCAGGCCCGGAGCAGCGGCTGCCAGGCTGGGAGCGGCCAGGCCCAGGGGAGCAGGCGGGGCTGGTGCGGCCAGGCCCGGAGCAGCGGCTGCCAGGCTGGGAGCGGCCAGGCCCGGGGGAGCAGGCGGGGCTGGTGCGGCCAGGCCCGGAGCAGCGGCTGCCAGGCTGGGAGCGGCCAGGCCCGGGGGAGCAGGCGGGTCGGGTGCGGCCAGGCCCGGAGCAGCGGCTCCCAGGCTGGGAGTGACCAGGCCAGGGGGAGCAGGCGGGGCTGGTGCGGCCAGGCCCGGAGCAGCGGCTGCCAGGCTGGGAGCGGCCAGGCCCAGGGGAGCAGGCGGGGCTGGTGCGGCCAGGCCCGGAGCAGCGGCTGCCAGGCTGGGAGCGGCCAGGCCCGGGGGAGCAGTCGGGTCGGGTGCGGCCAGGCCCGGAGCAGCGGCTGCCAGGTTGGGAGCGGCCAGGCCCGGGGGAGCAGGCGGGTCGGGTGCGGCCAGGCCCGGAGCAGCGGCTGCCAGGCTGGGAGCGGCCAGGCCCGAAGCAGCAGCAGCCAAGTCCAGAGCAACTAGGTCGGGAGCGGCAGTGACCAGACCCGGAGCAGCTGTTGTGGAATGAACCAGAGCAACAGCGGCCAGGCCCTGAGCAGCCAGGCCCAGAACAGCTCGCTCCTTGCCTGCCCCTGCCCCACGGCTGCTTCTCAGACATGGCTGGAAACTTTCGTGGGAACTTGAGGGTCTGCTGAATCAAGTGATGAAGGCTTAGATCTGGATATGTTGAATTAGTTTAGGACTGGGGTGTTGATCTGTGAGTGCCTTGGGTGGGGCCTGGATGAGGCTGGTTGACCTATTGGGAAATGTCTTTTGTGTGAAGTGTATCATTGGGCATGTGGAGGTATTATTGATATGAGAAAATGCTAAGTAACTGATTTACTATCTGAAAAGGGATTTACTATTGGGGAAATTGAGGGAAGAAGAGACTGAACATAAACTGCACCTATGGATGAGGACAATGGGGGATTGGGGGGGGGGGACGGAGGGTGGGGTGGGAACCTGGTGGAGGGGGGAAGAAATGAGGAACCTTTGTAATAATATGAACAATAAAGATTGATTAAAAAAAAATAAATAAATAAAAAAATTAAAAAAAAAAAATAAATAAATAAATAAATAAATTCGATTTAAAAAAGTATTAGAAAACGACATTAATTATTACTAGACCTAATATCATAAAATACTAATAAACTTTAAAAATTATAAGAAAAATTAAACAATATTAAAGCTACTCTAATTTTTATAAGAATGACATTAAATGTCTGTGGTGGTGAAATAATATAATTAGTAAACAACCATTTTAAAAACAATCTCTGGAAAAATCCAAAACTTCTTTTAGTAAAACATATTGTATATACAACTCAAATCATATACATTCAAGACGAAAATACTCAAGATAAACTACATTTGCCTTGTATTCCTTGGTACACAACCCATGAAAAAGAAAATGTTCTTTTATAACAGAGATTTTAACCAGAGTGCAACAAGAGGCACACTGATGTGCAAGAAAAAATTTTAAGACATGTAATACTTGACTATTTAGTCAGGGGCACTGACCTCTTTTCCTTTAGAGTGTCAAATAGAAAAATGACAATACCCAACACAACAATAGCCATCCAGTGTGAATGAATCA